TCTTTTTTTTTTTGGAGAGGTTTTTGCTATAGGGCGCATGCGCTCGCCAGACAGACAGAGAGAGACAGAGAGATAGAAAGCGAGAAATCAGCCACCAGGGGGGATGGCTATGCCGCAATCCCTTCTCCTCCATTCTCCTCTAGGGATCTTGGGCACGCACGCATACACGCCCGGCGTGAGTTTAAGCTACCGGGTCCGGGACGCAAACCGTGATCGACTACGTGGGAGTCCAGCAACATAGCCATTATGCTAACTGCTGGTCCTGAGTGTGAGATCTTTTAAAAATCGTTTATCATTTCACCATTGTGTATATTACCTGTAAAACTGGTAAAAAAAAACAAAACAAAACTGCCATAGTTCCTATGGTGGTTGACATTAAATCAAAGAAAATTGTATGTAAACAATAAATTGCTATAGAAACAGAAGCAATTTTCACCATTTTTTGGAGGTTTATCTTATATAAAGCTGATATTCCACAATTCAGTTCTGAATTTGCAGGTTAATAACACTTTATTAATATTCACTTTTTTTTTTTAATTTGCCAGAGGGCACATGCACTCACTGAAGAGTGAGAGAAAATGAAAAACTGAGAACGCATCCATCATGGGGGTTATGATCAGTCCACAATCCTTTTGCCTCCGATTCTCCCTCTGTTCAAGATTTAGGGCACTGGGACCAGCAGTTAGCGTAATGGCTATGTCCCTGGACTCCCATGTAGTCGACCGCGGTTCGTGTCCCGGACCCGGTGGCTTAAATTCATGCCAGGCACGTGTGCGTGCGTGCCCAAGATCCCGAGAGGAGAATGGAGGAGAAGGGATTGCGGCGTGGCCATCCCCCCCTGGGGGGTGATTTCTCGCTTTCTGTCTCTCTGTCTCTCTCTGTCTGTCTGGCGAGCGCACGTGCCCTTATAGCAAAAACCTCTTCAAAAAAAAAAAAGATTTTGGACACATGCACTCAGTTTGTTTCTCAAACTATGGGGTTGGGGACTCAAACCATGGAGTTGGTCATGAGAGATCCAGCCATCTTAACTAGCTGACCCACTGATACTCACTATTAGGTTGTTGGAAAAGTCATAACTTATTTTTTTTTTCTATGCAAAAATGCAGCATGACTTTTCTGACAACCCAGTATTTATAACCCTTTTTTTTGGAGAGGGGGTTGCTATAGGGTGCATGTGCTCACCAGAAAGACAGAGAGAGACAGAGACAAAAAGCGAGAAATCACCCCCAGGGGAAGTTGCCATGCCATAATCCCTTCTCCTCCGGTCACCTCTCGGGATCTTGGGCACATACGCGCATGCACCTGGCATGAGTTTAAGCCACTGTGTCCAGGACTCGAACCGCAGTTGACTACATGAGAGCCCAGTGACATAGCCATTACACCAACTGCTGGTCCCCCAGTATTTTTTTTTTTTTTTTAGAGGTTTTTGCTATAGGTCGTGTGCACTCGCCAGACAGAGACAGAGCGTG